AAACAGAGTATGCAGAGTATGCAACCATTACAAAGTATGCGGCCATTACAATTGTCTAAGCAGATGCAGTTACAGCCACAGTCATTGCATCAGTCTCAGCATCTGCAGCTGCAGCCATTACAGCTAAAGTCATTGCATCAGTCTCAGCAGTTGAAGCCACAACAGCAGTCATTGAAGCCACAACTTAGTGTATCACATATAGCTGCAAAGAGATATAAATATTAGTGTTGTAGTAGTGGTGGTTAGGTAGCTGTTAGTTTAGATTTAGTTAGGAGTTTGTTAATTCAGTTAGAGTTTGTTGTAACAAACTCCTAACCAGCTCTCTTGTATTAAATATAAATAGGTGTATGTCTCAAGGTAAAAGTGTGGTGAATGAAATATCATTTTCTCATTTCTTGTTATGGTATCAGAGCCAAATAGCTCTCATGAGCAAGATTCATTCATGGCAGTTTCATCATCTTCTCTACCACCAAATCTTAGTCTACTGATTTCAAATTTTCAGTCTCTAGTAACAGTGAAACTTGATTCTTCCAATTTTCTTATCTGGAAACATTAGCTTCAGAATGTGCTTAGAGCCACAGATTTGTTTGATTTTGTAACTGGAGTGATTCCATGTCCAGCTCCGCAGATCTGTGATGCATCTGGAAAAGTAATTGAAAATCCAGAGTTTGCAAGATGGAAAATGATTGATGCACATCTGCTAAGTTGCATTACTGCAACTCTCGCCTCATTTGTGTTCTCCACAGTTCGTCATTGTCAACACTGTGTTCAAGTCTGGAGTGCTTTAGAGAAGAGATTTACCTCACTCTTTCGATCTCACATACATTAATTAAAGAATAAACTTCAATTAGGCTCCAAGAAAGGCCTCTCAATGGAGGAATATTTGACTCAGATTCGCAATATTGCAGATCAACTTAGTCTTGTATCAGCTACAGTTGAAGATGAAGATCTGGTTTTGTTAACACTCAACGGATTACTAGATGAATATGCGGCTTTGAAAACTACTATTCGTGCCAGAGCAGAGGCTATTACTATGGAAGACTTGAGTTCACTACTTTGTTCTGAAGCAATACATGTAGAAAATAAAACTAAACATGTTCTTATTAGTGATTTACCAATGGCCTGTGCTGCGACTACTGGCTCTGCATCTGGATCTACTTTTTATCCTTAGTCTAATAGAGGATATTCATCTGGCAATAGAGGAAGATACAGAGGAAATGGAAGGTATCGCCGAGGTAGATCAGGGAGATATGATCATAGACATGATAGTCATTCAAGCAATGCTTCTTATTCTGGTTGTCAAATCTGTGGAGGTCATAATCATAGTGCTTTTGATTGTTGGTTTCATATGGGTTCCACCTATCAGCTTGCTCAGGCTTCTTCTCCATCTAATTCTTAGTCTTTTCCATCTCATGCTTATTCTATCACTGCAAATCAGTCTTCTTCTAATCAGTCTTTTGCTCCATCTGATTCATCCACTCCGTGGTACATAGACTCTGCTGCAACCAATCATATCACAAATGATTTGGCTAATCTTTAACTCTATCAACCGTACCAAAACGCTTCCAAATCCCAGCCGCAAAACAACCTATATATTGTTTAGGAAAAATGCTATTTATCATCAGATTAATTCACAACGTGACAATTCTTCCTGATCTCACCCAGTTTGCCAGTGAGGACGTCAATGTAGTCCATGCGAACCATAGCAGAAACAAACTTGGCCTCCCACTTGGATCCATATTTAGCATTGTACATCACTGTCTTAGCCGTTGAAGGGCTGCTGAGCAATGTCTAGTATGAGGTTAGTACCCCACGGTGCTTCTTCAATACTGTGTAGTACTTGTTGTCCGAACGGTTTGGCGTTAGAACATCAAGAGCCACTGTTGGATTGATGGCAGCACCGGCGTTGCTTGGTGGGCACTTTGTTTTCAAGAATGCTGCGTAGTTTGGATCCATGGAAGGATCTTGTGGGTGAGTGGCATTGAAGGAGTAAAGGCGGGTGGAGAAGGAAATGAGAGACACCAATGGAGTGAGCACCAGAGAGTGTCACCATCTCGTCACGTGACAATCCTTTTCTGGCAAAGTTATCCTCCAGCCGTGTGGCGTTGAAGAAGGAAGCCGGTAAATTTTGTGGAATATCATCACTCAAAGACACACGTCCATCACGACGTCCTGCTGGCACGGCATAGTTTATCCCTCCAACCATGAAGGCACTGTCGCGAGTAGCGAAGGCAACAATGTCCGCGCATGAGACAGTTTTAGGGCACATGGCTTCAACTTGGGCCTTGGCCTCATCAATCACCTCGAACCCTCGTAAGCTCGGGTTGTTGGCTGGATGTTCTTTCTTAGCTGGTTTTCCTGGTGTTGAATCCAGTAGCACAGAACCATCACAACCCTAAAAAGTAAAAACATTTAGTAACATTAACTAACGGTGGGTGCGAAAGTAACGGTGTTTTCAATTCGAACTATCTTTTGAGTTGTGTTTTCTATATAATAATATAGATAAAAAATAAATTATTTTATGAGAATGAAACTACAATAATATATATTAATTTAGGAAAGGGTGTAGGATAGGCACATACCCTGACAAAGCAGTCATGGAAATGCATCCTAATGAGGCCTGCAGCAATGCCTGGATTCTTGGAGATGGCTTTGTTCACAGGTTTTCGCACAACTGCCTCAGCAGATGGACATGTTGTTTGGTAGAATCCCATTTTGAGTGGTGATACTACTGCTGGTGAAGCCACAGCAGAGATAGAAAATCAGAAAGGAAGAGATCAGTAGTGCAGCAAGGACTTGGAACCTAGAGCAATTGGGATCCATATTTTTAGAACAGGAAACCAATCGAAGAAGAGCTGACAAGTATATAGTACAAAGCTGAAGGAGAGACAGCTACTAGTAGAATTGCTAGATATGGAGATTAATAGTTGAGGTGGATAGAGAAGGTGATATAAGAAGCATATATATAGATAGATATGTGGAGGAGAAAGATGATGGATATCATCACCTAATTCTTAAATACTTTTATAATGTGAAGGGTTGGGATTGGTTTTACTTTTGAAAGCAAAACGTGTGTAGCTGTATTGGAACTGCTCCATGTTGAAGATTTCTTCAGGTTGTCTGTCTTTGAACGCTTCTAGCTATCACTACCTCTTCATTGAATGAGTGAATTATATCTGTACATTAAATTAATTGTTTTTATATAAACTTTCATATTCCATTTGTCCTTTCCACACCTTCATATGCCTTTTTTATTTTTCAATTCATTATATGACTTTTTTGAATATAAAAGAATAAAAATAAAGTCAGTTGTCAAGAAAAAAGCAAGAAAGATTTTTCCGAGAAACTTACAATTATGAACATGAATTACACTCTTTTTATAAAATATTCAAGTGTCGTTTCTCAAGCCGTCATCAACAATGGATCCAGCTTGGCACCTTGATAAAGTCATGTTGAAAGTGTAATTATTTCATCTGTAAAATTTTACAAGTCAAACCTACTGACGCATCTTTGTTAAATAATTGATTTAATGAGTGTTCTAATTTTTCATTTGTCTAAAATAGCATACAAATAATATCACAGAGGACTGTATGGAATTTGCTTGTGATAGACTAAGACATCAACGTGTGTATGGTTAATAAATTTGGATAAAAATTTGAAAAAAGAAAGGAAAAAAATAGATAAAATATGAATGAAATATTTAGGAGTGATCTACTTTAGATCATCTTTTTATCTTATTTTGGTCACATTAATTTTTAATTAAATCACATCACCTCTCAACTATGTTACACAATTTTTTTTATAAAAAGTTAAAAATTATACTTATTTAGATCATTTCAAACAATCACATAATTAGATTTTACACAACTTTTCTCTTTTTGTTTAATCTCTCTAGTTTGCGTAAACCCGTTTTGTATAATTTTGACTGATATCTTGTAAGAAGGTTGTCTCTACTCTTCTTGTCATTAAACATAAACAAGTGGAACAATTACACAAACATGTAGAAAAATCACCTCCAGCACGTATTTAACATAGACATATAGTTTAAAGCAAATTCATATATTGAGTGATCTCATCATCTCAGCTCTGTCGAAACAGAATACAATATAAAATAAGCTAGGAATTCAATATAGATGGTATCATGGGGGCACACAATTAACAACATGACTTTTTTTTTTATTTATTTATTTTTATTTTTTATCTAGAAAAAAGGATTTGGGAGGAGAAAGATTGGATACACACCTAACCTTTGGCATAGTGCACAAAGTGACTGCTTTGAGACTTGAACCCATAACCTCAAGGTTATTAGGCCAAGATCGTACCATTGAACCAATGGTCAGCTTAATGTGTACTATTTAAATGTTGTTGTTGTATCTAGAAAAAAGGATGCTATGAGGTGTCATGACAATATTCGAGGGTCCAGATTTAGGGATAACCGGTTGTCAGCTTAATTTAACCTAACTCCTAGAAAGGGATTCACTATAAAAAAACTAGTGGAGTTCAATCACGTGTTACAAACAAATTCAAAATTTAATCAAAATACAGAACGAGATCTCTGTTGAAAACAACTATAAATAACATTACTTTGAAAGTTTCTCCCCTCACTAAACGACATATTTTATAGACGGACATAATTAGAAAGTTTCTCCCCTCCCAAAATAAAAAAATATTCTTTGTTTTTTATTGGAAGTTGACTTTTTTAGAAAAGTTATAATGAAACAATAAATAAATAAAACAAATGAATATGTGAAATGACTATACTCTCAAAATATTATGTGACCTTATTTATATAATTTTTTTTTTTTCAAGTCTCAACTACTTAATAAAAATTAGTCTGTATTCTTACTTAAAAAAAAAATTATTAAGTGATTAGTTTAGAGTATCAAGTATTCCAAAACTATTTAGTAATTACCCCAAAAGAATAAGAATTTAGATAGGAATAAATTAACTAATATATAAACAATTCATTCAATGAAGGGTGGTAGAAGTGTTCAAAGACAGACAACCTCAAGAAAACTTCAACACGGAGGAGTTGCCTTGTGCAATGAAATGCAGCCAGTACTACACACGATTTGATTTCAAAAGTAAAACCAACTCCACCCTTCACATTACAAAAAAGCATTTAAGAATTGTTAAGTGGTCAATCAACTTTCTCCTCCACCCATCTATCTATATATATGCTTCCTATATCACCTTCTCTATCCACCTCAACTATTAATCTCCATATCTAGCAATTACTACTAGTAGCTATCTCCTTCGGCTTTGTACTATATACTGGTCAGCTCTTCTTTGATCGGTCTCTCTCGTTCTAAATATGGATCCAAATTGCTCCAGGTTCCAAGTCCTTGCTGCACTACTGATCTCTTCCTGTTTGATTTTCTCATTTTCTATCTCTGCTATGGCTTTACCAGTAGTAGTACCACTCAAACTGGGATTCTACCAAGCAACTTGTCCATCTGCAGAGGCAATTGTGAGAAAAGCTGTGAGCAAAGCCATTTCCAAGAATCCAGGCATTGCTGCAGGCCTCATTAGGATGCATTTCCATGACTGCTTTGTCAGGGTATGCTATAGCCTATCCTATTTCCTTTCCTAAATTAATGTATATTATTGTAGTTTCATTCTCATAAAATAATTTATTGTTTATCTATATTATTATATAAACCACACAACTCAAAAGATATAATTAGAATTGAAATGCATCGCGTTCAAACCCACCATTTGTTAATTAATGTTACTAAATGTTTTCACTTTTCAGGGTTGTGATGGTTCTGTGCTACTCGATTCGACACCAGGAAAACCAGCTGAGAAAGAAAATCCAGCCAACAACCCAAGCTTGCGAGGATTCGAGGTGATTGACGAGGCCAAGGCCCAGATTGAAGCTATATGCCCTAAAACTGTCTCATGTGCGGACATTCTTGCCTTCGCTGCTCGTGACAGTGCCTTCAAAGTTGGAGGGATAAACTATGCCGTGCCAGCAGGGCGTCGCGATGGACGTGTTTCTTTGAGTGATGACATTCCACAAAATTTACCAGCTCCCTTCTTCAACGCCACACAGTTGGAGGAAAACTTCGCCAGAAAAGGATTGTCACGTGACGAGATGGTGACACTCTCTGGTGCTCACTCCATTGGTGTCTCTCATTGCTCTTCCTTCTCCACCCGCCTTTACTCCTTCAATGCTACTCACCCACAAGATCCTTCCATGGATCCAAACTACGCAGCATTCTTGAAAACAAAGTGCCCACCAAGCAACGCCGGTGCTGCCATCAATCCAACTGTGGCTCTTGATGTTCTAACGCCAAACCGTTTGGACAACAAGTACTACACAGTATTAAAGAAGCACCGTGGGGTACTTACTTCAGACCAGACATTACTGAGTAGCCCTTCAACGGCTAAGACAGTGATGTACAATGCTAAATATGGTTCCGAGTGGGAGGCCAAGTTTGCTTCTGCTATGGTGCGCATGGGTTACATTGACGTCCTCACTGGTAAAAATGGTGAGATTAGGAAGAATTGCCACATGGTGAATTATTAATTGATTAAGCTTCTAAGTGTTTGGAAATATTGTATTCTTCAATTTTTTTATATTTTTTATTTTTTGATATGCCAATTGGTTATTCAAGTGTAAATTAATCATTTTCTTGATTGATGTTGATGATGATTTGTTGTGTTCTTTCTTTTAATAAAAACTATGTATTCTCTTGCTAGTAAGGATCCCCTGTCCTCAAAAGTTCATGCTCTCCTATCATAAATCACTCATAATCATTAGATCATTTGAGAATTTCAAGACATGAGAATCTTAAGACATATCCAATGATTATGAGTGATTTGAGACATGAAGATAAGAATTTTTGAAGACAGGAGATCCTTGGGTTCCTCTCACAATTAGTATTTGACAACTTTCCAAGTCTTGCAACATTTACAATTAGAATAATTGTTACATATTTCAAAAGCACCATGTTCGTAAAGAAAAAAAAAACAAAAAATATACAATAATTATAGAGAGTTTTAATTTTGAAACTTTCTAATGATGTAGTAAGGAAAAAAAAAAAAAACAAAGGCACACACATCACTTTACATGTGGACTCCACTTTTTACCACATCACTAAAACTCTCTTTAAAATTCCAAAATTAAAACTCTCTGTCTTTATTCAAAAACACATTACAATCTAGATCTGCTATGGCTGTAAATTAAAGTTTGAACCCACTCATCTAGTAAATTTTATTGACTCCTTTTTAAAGTTTAAATAAAATACAATAAATTTTATATTTTTAGTATAATTATATTAAATATTTTTAAGATTTTAATTTATAAAACATTTTTTTTGTATCAATAATTTGTTAGTTAAATAGATAGAAAAGTGATATTATTATCTCTTTATGCTATATTTTTTGATATTTGAAAATAAACATATAATCCCTTATATGTAGGTATGTGTTTCATATTTTCTATTGAAATGTTGTACTTTAATTCATAGGGAGAATTACATCTGAGTGTTTTTTTTTTTATAAAAAAAATTAATAAAATTAATAAATATTAATAATTAAATTTATAAACTTATTCACTAATATGTAAATATTTTTTCAAAGCCCCCACTTATGTAATTTTCCCTAATCCATAAACTAAGGGAATAATTCATGTTAAAAAGTGGGAGAATTTTTTTTAAGATTCTTGATATTAAGATTTTATAAGATAAATGACATATAATATTTTTGTTACCCAAAAGACAACCTAAGAGGGGGGATGAATTAGACTTTTACAATTAAAATTAATAATACCCTAATAAAAATTATGACTAGCACAATAGATAAATATAATTAATGAAATAAAAATAATTAAAACAAATGTCTTAACAACTATGTCAGTTAATGATTTTAGCACAGTAAAAATGTGAAATGTAGCTATGGCAATTTAAAATAAAATAAAGAGATAAATGAGAGAGAGGCAAACAAATTTATAGTAGTTCGGTTTCAACTCGGCCTGCGTCCACTTCTTAAGTTTCACTTGAGATTTTCCACTATCTTCTAGTTTCACAGGGGTCCTAGCAACCTCTTTACAAATGGAACAATCCTCCACGGATTTTACACAGACTTTACAAGTCCAAACCCTTGCAAATCTTAAGTTCACTCTCAAGATTTCAAAAATACAGTGTTTGCAACACTTTTACAAGATGAAATGGTATTTTTACTTTCAAAGAAAATTTACAATAAATATATCTCAAAGATAGATATATAAAATGAAGCTTTAATTTTTCTGTAAATCTCACACAGGAAAGATGAACTTAAAGCTATAAGACCTAGTGTATAATTTCTGAGAAAAAATGTGAGTGATTATAGATCAAAGAATATTTTCAAGTTTTTTTGTAACTTATTTACATTAGAAGCTTTGATATATATAATGAAAATTATAGCTGTTTATAACCGTTGTAGTCATTTGAATTTATAGCCGTTTATAGCCGTTGTACTTCCATCATTACCAATTTGAATATCTTCCACTCCATCATTACAAATTTGAATATCTTCCACTTTAACATTTTGAACCTTTTGGCCTTTTGAACCTTTATAACCGTTTATAGCCGTTATACTTCTATCATTACTAATTTGAATATCTTCCGCTTGAACCTTTTGAACATTTTGGCTTACTGCTGTGCTAGGCTGTTTGAACCTTTGTTTTGGGCTGTTTGAACTCCTGATTTAATCAAATATTAAATACATTCTAACAACATTTAGGATAAAGGTTTAGGTGAGAAATAATGGGACAAAATAAATTTTAATTCTATTTTTCTCTTTCAAATAAATCATCAAAATAAATTTTGATTTTATTTTTCTTTTTCAAATAAATCATCAAAATAAATTTTGATTAAAATATAACTAAATAAATCATCAAAATAAATTTTGGATTCTATTTTTCTCTTTCAAATAAATTAAAACATAATTAAATAAATCATCAGAATACATAAGTCTAACAATCTCCCCCTTTTTGATGATGGCACACAATAATGTTTTGATTTGATTTGGGAGTAAGAAAGGCTCCCCCTCAAGTCATGCTCCCTGAATTCATTTCTAAATACATAAGTTAGCACATGTGTAATAAATAAGCTTTAATCAACAACATGATATAAGATTTAAGATATTAAGATATCAAACTATAAATACATAACATCATATAATTTCTTCCCCTGTGACATTATCAAAAGGAAATTATGCCTCAGAATCTGGAGGAGTAGGAGGAGGAGAAAAATGATAGTGATAAATGGCATAAAAAATAGATAATCAAAAAATATATATGTTTAATTTGCGCACCTTTCTCATGTCCGTCGAAAATCGCGTCTCTCTTTTTCCTTCGATAAACGCGTTTGACACACGGCCTCTCTTTTGCGTCAGCCGACCGACAAAAGCGAGACAAGTCAATCAGCTGCCTCGGCTCTCTCTCCCTTTTGTCTTCTTCTCTTTCGTCTTCTTCTTAAGCTCTCTCTTCGCCTTCTTCTTAATCACACACTCTTTTATTTTCTGCTTCACCATTCGCTTCTATCTCTTTTTCACCACTCTCGTCTCTTCTATTTCTCTGCAACTCATTTCTTTTACACCTCGCACCTCGAAACCATGGCTTCCTCATCCCGTCCCCTCACTCTATTTCCAAACCTGAACGTTCCTATAAGCTCTGCTGGACCGAGTGCCTCTACTCCTACCCTTCTTGTCATTCCTCTTTCTAACCTTCCTATGATGTCAATTGAGCAAATCATGGCAGCTCAATCTGGTATAGAAGCCAATCATTTCACACTAACGTCGTGTATGGAGACGGTGACGGCAGTCACAAACTTGGCTCACCGATTGCAGAACAGGACGAGTGAACTCCATCAGGTCAATGCCCAACTCTCTCTGCTTCAGCGCATGTACAAGGATACGCGAGCAGAAATAGGCACACTGAAGGCCGAAAATAAAGAGCTTAAACGGAAGACCACCACCATGGCCCGATTTAGAGCAACGTCGTTCTTGGCCTTTGATAGTCAGCGGGGAGTCGTCGCTCTCGACGAAAGCATGAGGGCTGGGGCATCAAGGGTCACCCAAGGTGATAAAAAGAAGAAAAAAATGATAGAAGAGGCGAGTAAGTGAGGTCGGCATATGGCCGAAAAAAAATAAAGGGTTGTTTTGTTTTTTTTTTTTTTTTTTTTTTGTATTTTTTTTTTTTGAAATATGTTTAGTTTGATCGGCGTATGGTCGAAAAAAAAAATGCAGGATGTTTTTTTTTATGCAAATAGTTGTATTTGTTTTAATTTCTATGTTTAAGTACTGAAAAATGAAATTAAAAAACAGAAAAAAAAAGAAAATTAAGCCCAAACAAAAAATAATAATGAAAAAAATAAGGATAAAAGAAATGAAGCCTAATAGCAAAATAAAAAAATAAAAATAAAGTAAAATAAAATAAAATAATACCAGCAGAAATTAAACTTAATAGGACGTTGGTGTTGCTGGAATGGTAATGCAAATAAAATACCATGAGGGTTTAAAAAAAAATCAATGTATGCAAAGTTAATTTTACCTCGAGATGCAGAACCCAAAAAAAAATAAAAATTACACAGTTTAAAATTAATCAAGTTTAAATTATTTCCCTTGTTTCATTTGGCAAAATCAATAGGAGATATGAATAATAAAAGCTCATAACTGAAATATTCTCCTCAATAATATCAAATAGGATGCCAAATGTTACCAACAAGGATGCCAAAATGATACCAGCATGCAATCTACCAAGGATACCAATATGCAATCTAGAAGATTTAACAATCATAACTCAAGTATTATGCAGAATACCAAATATTGCTCATAATAGGTTAAATGCAATATAATCTCATGGAGCTAATGTAAATCCAAAAAATGAAGCATGTTCAAGGTATAGCAATGCATATGCCAAGAAAAATCATGGCTTTCAATATATAGCACACATTTTAAGCATAGGCATGATTTTTAGGCAAGAGCATCATCAAAGAGTATGCATTGCAAATCATATGAAGCATAATCAATCTTTTTCATATCAAAGTAATAACAGTATTAGCTCAAAGGAAATAAGATAGAATTTTTACTTCAAAAGCTTAAGAGAGTATATGAGGCATACGTTAGGTTCAAGAGATGAAAGCTTTTCAATCTCAATTTTCTTTCATGAGGAGTTCATCTCAAAAGGGTTTAACACGTATGTTAACAAAATGATTTCTCCCCCCCCTAAGTTGGTGTTACCATTTTCTAATGTGATTTGTGTAAATATAGCATTCATAGAACAAATACTATTACTCAATAAAAATACAATACAAATCACTTCTTATTACAAACTCAAAAAGTAAAAAATAATTCAATGATCAAACAAGAGTTTGGAATGCTATTTTTCAAAATTTTCAAGTTGTAGCACATAGCATAATATGCATAAGAAAATAATGTTATGTAGACACTCCATTTTTGACCGACCTTAAGACTCAGACGTCACTGATTGAACGCTCGGTGATATTGCATATTGCACTCGTTCAGAAGTTTCAGAGTCTCGGCTGCAAGCCTTGCCTCCGGACTTCCGGACTCTTTCGTACCTTGTCTCGGTTTGCAAACCAGGCTCTGTTTTCTCTGTTTTCTCTTCCCGAAAGGAGGGAGAGATCTCGTGGACCATCTCTCAGTGGCCGTAGGCTACGTTTCGCGGTCGTAGGCCATTTTTCCCGTTTGGAGCCCGATTTTCGGTTTTTCGGAGCCGACGGCCGTGTGCCTCGGTTCGGGACCGCCTAACCACCTCCGTTTGCTTCGGTTTTTGGCATACACCTTATTTCCTCCCTTTTGAGGAACACTGTGGCCCGAGAGACGAACTTCGTGGTCGAACGCC